TCTTGCCACTTGATGCACATGGGTTGGGTACGTCGCAGGGTAATTTTATCCTGGCAGGCGTGTATAAACATGGTCTGGGGAGAGGGCGGCAACCCGAGAATCATGTTCCCGGGAAGCTTTCCGGGAGCATGATTTGTTCGGCTCTCTTATGAGGGGGGGCTCTGGGGGCTCACCGAAGGGCCCTTTTTGGCCTTGTCGGCAAGCCTATTGGAAACATGGTTGGGGCGGTGGGCGGAAACCCAAGGAATCATGTTCCCGGAAAACTCTGGGAAATACGATTTACCGAGGTCTCTTGGGGGCCCGCAAGGAGCTTCCCTGGGGGGCCCTTGGGGGCTTATTGGGGCTTCCGGGGGGCCTCTTGGGCGCCTCACGAGGCTTCTAGGGAGCCTCTTGATGGCCTCCGGGGGCGTCCTAGGAGCCTCTCATGCCAGAGACCTTGAAATGTCTCGCTCTTCGGGTCCTCTTGGGTCGCTCTTGGGGCTCTTTTGGGGCGCTCTCGAGGCCCTCTTGAATTATCTGGGGAGTCTCCTGGGCCGTTTTTGGTCTTTACTTGGGAGCCTCTTCGGCCGTCTTGGAGCGTTCTGAAGGGCCTCTGACGCCATCCGGGACAGTGGGGAGGCGGAACATGCGAGAGCGCAAAAATGCGGGGCCCTTTGGAGGGGCCTCTGGAGGCGCTCTTGGGGCGTTTTGCCGGCGGCCGTCCTGACGCCATCTTCGGCGTGTCCAGGGCCTCTTGGGGCTGTCTTGGCAATATTTAGAACCTTCTTGGCGTGTCGTGGCGTGCTTGGGAGCGGGCCCGGGCAGTCCCGGGAGCCCTGGGGGCTGTTGAATGCTAGGTGTTGTCTTGGAGGCGGAGGCTGTTGAGTGCAGGGTGGCGCGTGCTACGCGGAAGGCGGGCGAGCGACCGGGCGGGCGGCGGGCGGGCGGGTGGCGGGCGGGCTGGCGGGCGGGTCGGGATTTTAATGAATTTCTTAAGGGTGCTCTCTTGCAGCGGGAGCTTGTTGAGTACAGGGTGTTGCCTTGAAGACGGGGGCTGTTGACTACAGGGTGTTGTCTTGGAGACTGAAGCTGTTGAGTACAGAGTGGTGCGTGCTACGCGGACGGCGGGCGGGCGGCGGGTGCCCTAGGTGGTGGGTCAGAGGCCTCATGGGTGTTGGTTTGGATTTCGTTTTTGGCCTGTCGGGGACGTCGTGAAGGCAGTTTCGCAGCTTCTCGGTAGCCATTTTGAAACCGTTGTGGGACCTCCTCGGGGCTGTTTTGTGGCCTCTTGAAGCCTTGTTTGGGTCTCCTGGGTGCTTCTCGGGGGCCTCCTGGGGCCTCTGGGGGGCTCCTGGGGGCCTCCTGGGGCACTCTTCAAGTGGGAGGGTAGAATTTTGGAGTCGTGGTCCCCCTCTTGGGCGCATCTTGGGGTCGTCTTGGGGCTCTCTGAGGCGCCTCTGGGGCCGTCTGGGGGCCCTCTTGGGCCGTCTTGGGGCGCTCTTGGGGGCCTATGGAGCCGGCCTGGAACGTCGGACAGCCGAAAAGGCTGGAAGGCCAACATCTTTCCAAAACCTCAGCAAAATTGACGATTTGGGTCTTTTGAAGCGCTCGGGAGAGGCGTCTTGAAGCGTCGTGGAATGCCTTGGGGGGGTTTCTCGGGCCGTCTTGGGCCTGTCCAGGAGCGGTTTTTCGGCGACTCGGGGCCCGCTTGGGCCGTCTGGGGAGCCTTGGAGGCCCTCCAGGACTATTTTAGATTCTGGGCCTGCCCCCCAGGGATACATTTATGTGTATATATATACACAGATACATACATACATACATACATACATACATACATACATTCATTCATTCATACATACATACATACATACATACATACACATACATACATACATACATACATACATACATACATACATACATACGTACGTACGTACGTACGTACGTACGTACGTACGTACGTACGTACGTACGTACGTACATACATACATACATACATACATACATACATACATACACACATGCACAAATACACACACATACATACATACATACATACATACGTACGTACGTACATACATACATACATACATACACGCATACATACATTACATACATACATACATACATACATACACACATACCTACATCCATACATACATGCATGCATACATACATACATGCATACACACATATATATATACATACATACATACATGCATACATACATACATATATACATACATATACATTGATACATATACATACACATATATACATATCTATACATAAGTATGTATACACACCTGTGTAATGCAAGCATCGCGCGCTACACGCGAACCAACCTTGCACCCAAGGGCGATATGCCGCTTACGTGAAATGGCACTGCACCTGGCTCAGGAGAGCCTGCAGCACGCCCGTCGCAAATTATTTGTAAGTCTGTGGGGTCAGTCAACTGCTGAAACACGCTCGCCTGGTCAACTGTGTCGATGCCCCGCCGCTCCGAGCATCAACAACATGGTCCACTATTATGTTGCAGCTGCGCAGCAGCCAGTCGACAGGGTCCAAGTAGCCAGCCTTGAACTCGAATGACTGAGGGAACAACTGCTGAGGCGGATTCCATTCCACGCGCAAGCTCTGCTTCGCGAGAAGGCCGCAACCACTGCGGCAATTCGAAGGCATACAACAAACTTCGGCCACAAACGCTCCCGCGACCTTCCTCATGACGCCAGGCACATGTAGGAAGCAAACTTGTTGCGCCAATTGGATCCCTAAATGTTCTTGGGCACTCCGTCGTCACACGTGTGTATGCCACTGCACGGAAGCAACAGAAAAGGAAGCATGACGCACATGGCAAGGAATGCGTTGCACCAGACACCGCCATTTTGCTCTTCTGTCTTCTCGAACCATTGTTGCTTGGTGTAGTCGGGTGCGCCCGAGTGTGCAGCATGTTAACTGCACAGGTAATGAAATAATGCCTGCCTTCATCCAGCCTCGGCTTGAACGAGAACAACCGCCTCAACATTGAATGTTCCCGTCTGACTGCGCTGTGCAGCAATCATGTTGTCCACTGACTGGTGGAGCACGGAGAATGGCCGCAGCCAGTGGCACATTCGCATATGCCGCAAGCGTTATGTCAAAGGGAGACATGCCCCTGCTGAAACCTTCATGAACTTGGAGCAACACGCGTCGCGGGTGCTCTAACGCCAAATTGTCTGCTGAACTCGCCCTTCGGTCGCTTGTGTCGCAGAATGCCACCGAATGCTCCCGTGATCGTCACAGCTTCGAAGCTGAGTGTCTGTGTTCTAAACCAGACGCTAACGCTCACGGCGTCTTGCACCGTGGCCCCACCAAACAAATAATTCGACTGATGCAATTGTCCTATGCCAATCGCATTCGCCCTCAAGCGCCGCTGTCACAGAGTCTGCGGTGAGCTGCCACTCTTCGAGACTGCACGCCAAAACAAAAAACTTTGCACCGTGCCGTTGGCGTCGGGCATGAACTCGCCGCCCTCGTGCAACCAGGGCTACCAAACTCCAACGGCATTTTAATGTGACGCCAACTGATCGGGGACCGCATCAGACAGATGCGCAGACGCTGATGGGCATGTTTTCCACTATCACTACCATAACTTGGCCGGGGAAAGGGTCCTCCTCCTGCTCCTGCTCCTCCTCCTCCTCATCATCATCATCATCCCCACCTGCAACTTATGGTGGTGGTGGTGGTGGTGGTGGTGGTGGTGGTGGAAAGCAAATCCATCAAACGCTGTCGGTTCGCACTCGCCTCCCGTGCACGTGGCTCCCGTGCACGTGGCGCCTCCGCCGCCCTGGGCACTGCAACCAGATCTGCGGTGTGTGCCTGAAAGTTGTCGCGGCTCCTGGCCAGTGCAAGATCGTGGTGAGCAATAGCTCTGGGATCGGGAACCTGGTGGAACATACAGTCAACCAGTATAGTAAGGATGCGCGATAAGGATGCAAGGGCCTTGGAAGGGCACGTCGAAGCTTTTCGAGCGGGGCGCGGCCAACGAAAATGGCCAAGGATGGGCCGAGGAGGCGAGGATACAAGGGCACCCTTGGGCAGGTTGCCCATCCTTACTATGCGGGTTGCCTGTCTCCACATAGCGAGCTGACTCGAAAGCTGTCTGGACGTCTTGGGACCCGATGGTTAAAAGGCAAGCGCTCATTAGCCAACGCGCCGCGCATATTCAAACATCACGGCGCAACAACTTCAACGGAACATCCACTCGTGTGCCTTTCGCTGGTTGACCTGGCCTGGCTGCGCATGCGCCTCACGCGCTCACTCCAATATTCAAGACCTCCTCCGTCCCGACGAACGTTTGAGACGCGCTCGAGTATAGGTCGAAGCAATGCACGGAGTGCCACCTCGTAGCGCCCAACTGCAAGCCTGATCCAGCCACCGCTTGACCTCGCATGCTCGAAAGCTGGCTCTGAACGTCTAGACATAAAGGTGCCTCCTAGCTCGATGCTGCCCACATGCCATGCGAAACGGCCTTCGACACAAGTAACGCAATTGCTCTGCGGTTGCCGTGGGCGCCGTCCTCCACTGCATCCTCCTCCTCCTCCTCCTCCTCCGTGCCGTCCTCCCCCTCCCCCTCCCCAGCTAGGCGTGCTGGTGGGGAGTGTCGCTGGGCGGGTGGGCTCGGCACAGCTTCGGTGACCAACATCTTGATGCACGTTCCGCGCGCGCGGTCCTCCGCCGCACTGCATGCAGGCCCGTGGGGCTGCGCGGCAGGCGCGGCCTCGCCCCTGCGTGGTTCGCCCGTCCTGCTTCTGACCCTCACTTAAGTATTCGAGGCAGGCCCCATGCATGTTCCATGTTTCCTTCCCCCCTCTCGATTCTGTCTTGGTGTGTCTTCCTTCGCTTCCCCCCTCCCCTCCTTCTCCTCCTCCTGTCCATCCTGATCCTCCTGCGCCTCCTCCTCCTCCTCCTCCTCCTCCTCCTCTTCCTCCTTCCTGCTCCCCCTTTTTCATTTCCTCTCCCCTGCACGGATGGGCGAGATCCTGGGGCATCTCCCAGATCTCCAGCATGGACTTCGGCGGGTCGTGCGACTTGATCCATTTCTGGCCGCGTTCCTGAGGAGGAGGAAGAGGATGAGGATGAGGATGAGGAGAAGGATGATGAGGGGGAAGAAGCAGCATCAGGAGGACAAGGAGGGGGGATCTGGAGAGAGAGGAGGAGGAGGAGGAGGATGAGGAGGATGAGGAGGAGGAGGAGAAAAAGGAGGAGGAGGAGGAGGACTGCGAGGAAGACTGTGAGGATGAACAGCAGCAGCGGGAACAGACGTAGCAGCGCGCCCCAAGGCAAAGAGCGGGATCGCCGCCGGGGAGCGCGCCAACAGGTGTCCATGTGATCGGGGGAGGGGGGGCGGGACGGGGATGACGAGGGGGGCGGGGGGGGGGGCGTGAGACGAGATGGCGAGGGATGGGAAAGGGGACGTGATACGAGGGAGGGGGGGAAGGAGAGGTGGGGAGAGGCGGGGAGGGGCACGGGAAGGAGGAGAGGGGGCGGGAGGGTCGGTTGCTTGGTGTGCTCCCATTGGGCTAGCACTCGGAAGCTTTGGGCGCAGCTGCATGCCAGCAGAGCTGAGGCGACCGTGCTTCGAAGGCCCTCGAAGCCAGGCAACTGCGCTGCAGGAGACGAGAGGAGGTTTAATGGGAGAGGGAAGGGGAGGCCGTGTCAGATGGCAGGGCAGAGGAGGGGAAGAGGGGGGGAAGAGGCAGGATCAAACATCACCGCATCGGGAGATCTGGTCGTGCATCGGCACGGAGCCTGCAATCGAATCGGACCAGCTGCGCCAAGATGCACGAGGGCGCCAATGCAGTCATCGGGCCGCGTCGGATCGCTGGAATACAGAGATCGAGCCGGGTCGATCCCGGCAACAAACTCGAAGCCGAACCGTATCGTATCGTATCGATAGGATCGGAAGGGGGCCCCGGGATGAGGGCGAGGGCGGACTGGCATCTTGAGCCTCGGCCGCTGCGGCAGGCGGCGGCTGCGCCAGTCGGCGGCTCGGCAGGCAGCCGTCCTCCACGATGATCTGCCTGGGCACGTGGTCGAGCGGGTCGGGGTCGTGGTAGTCCTCTGCGGCGATCGGCGGGGGCAGCAGACAGCGGATCAGAAACGTGTCGGGCACTGCGGTGCGAGACCTGGTCCTCCGCCCCCCTTCTCCTCCCTGCTTGCCGGGCTGCCCCGCGCTCGCCGTTCTGATGGCGGGGGCTGGGGGGTAGAAAAAGAAAAAACCACATAAGCATAAACTTTTGGCGCTCCGCGCGGATTTCTTGGATCCGCGCGCGCCGGACCCCACTCCCTGGCGCGCGGAGCGCGCCAGGGGCGGCGCCAGAGGCGCCGCCAGGGGGCCCAGCGCGGATCCAAGAAATCTGAGCGGAGCGCCAAAAGTTTATGTTTTATGTTTCTTCTTCTTCTTCGATGGGGGGGGGGGGGGGGAGCAGGGTGCGGCCCCCGGCGCTCCAGCTTCGGCCTCAATGCCGGCCCACCCCGCTCCAGGCGGCATCTGCTTCCTCCCTCGAGGGCCTTCCACTGTCGGTGGCCCTAGACCCGCCCACCTGAAGGCACAGGGATCGGTGCGTGGCTGCTCTGACGCGAGAGGTGTTCTCCTGCACGGGCACCCTCAGCAGAAGCACCCGTGCCCGAGAACAAAGACTCTGCCCAATGGGTCCCCCTCCCTCCTGCCTCCTCCTCCTCCTCCTCTTTCTCCTCTTTCTCCTCCTCCTCCTCCTCCTCCTCGTCCTCCTCCTCCCCCTCCTCCTCCTCCTCCCCCTCGTCCTCCTCGTCCTCCTCGTCCTCCTCGTCCTCCTCGTCCTCCTCGTCCTCCTCGTCCTCCTCCTCGTCCTCCTCCTCGTCCTCCTCCTCGTCCTCCTCCTCGTCCTCCTCCTCGTCCTCCTCCTCGTCCTCCTCCTCGTCTCCTCGTCCTCCTCGTCCTCCTTATCCTCCTCGTCCTCCTGGTCCTCCTCCTCCTTCCTCCTCCCTCCTCCTCCTCCCTCCTCCCTCCTCCTCCTCCTCCTCCTCCTCCTCGTCGTCCTCCTCCTCCTCCTCCTCCTCCTCCTCCTCCTCCTCCTCCTCCTCCTCCTCCTCCTCCTCCTCCTCCTCCTCCCCCTCGTCCTCGTCCCTCCTCCTCCTCCTCCGCCTCCTCCTCCCCTCCTCTCCTCCCCCCTCGTCCCTCGTCCCTCCCCCCCTCGTCCTCCCCCTCGTCCTCGTCCTCCTCGTCTCCTCGTCCCTCCTCGTCCTCCTCGTCCTCCTCGCCTCTCATCCTCCTCGTCCTCCTCGTCTCGTCGTCCTCGTCGTCCTCGTCCTCGTCCTCCTCGTCCTCCTCGTCCTCCTCGTCCTCCTCGTCCTCCTCCCCTCCTCGTCCTCCTCGTCCTCCTCGTCCTCCTCGTCCTCCTCGTCCTCCTCGTCCTCCTCGTCCTCCTCGTCCTCCTCGTCCTCCTCGTCTTCCTCCCTCCTCCCTCCTCCCTCCTCCCTCGTCATCCAGCTCGTAGGCGACGTCGGCGCCGACGGCGGCGTCGGCGACCCTGGGCCACGGTCGTCGGCAGCAGTGGCAGGGTCCCCTGTCGTTGGACCCTGGCAGTCCATCGACGGAGCGGAGTTGTTTGCGGTGCTCCTCGCCCTCCGTTTTTCCATCCCGCCCATCACGATGTACATTGACGGTAGCTTCGTGGTCGACGGCCTGCTGGCGAGAGGTCGGGGCCGCACTACGTCCGCCACCTCTGCTTGGGGCCACCTCTGGGCCGAGATCTGGCGTGCCCTGGACGACTTCGGCGGACTCGGCCCCGCAGGCCTGACCGTCCACAAGCTGAAGGGCCACGCGACGCTGGAGGACGTCGCCAACCGAGTCTGCACGGCGCGGCAGCGCCGCGGGAACGTCGAGGCCGATTACTGGGCCAAGCGCATAGGCCGCCCGTGGACTTTGCCTGACGTCGATCGCCGCCGGCATCATCAGGCTGCGTTGGTCCTTGACGGAGTCACCCACTGGGTGGGGCGAGCTGGAGCGCTGGCTGGCGCTGCCAGGGCCGACTCCATGTTGGACTACAGGCGGCCTGGCGCGATGCCGAAGGTGCAGCTCTCTCTCACCGAACACGAGTTCGAGACTTACGACGATGGCAGCATCTGGTGCTCTCGGTGCTTGAGGTCCGCACGGGCTGCTCTCTCTAAGCGCGTGCTCATTTCGCTCCGGTGCGTGCCCAGGCTGGTTGTCTCTGGAGCCAAGAGGAGACCGAGCGCTGCTTCCTCTGGCGCTGCCGCAGCCGCGCTCGCTGCCGCCGCTGGCCTGCTCGCGGCCGCGAGCGAACCCGAGGCGGAGGCGAGCAGCCGCCAGGGATCTCCGCGGAGATCTCGTTCCCCTCGGGCACACACGGGGCAGAAGGCTTCTTCACCCCTTGTTTCCTCCTCTTCTGCTGCCTCCTCATGTCGGCCTCCCGCCCCTGGGGAATGCGCGGCCGCGGAAGGCGGTGGCGCCGAGGGTGGCAGGGGCACGATCGGAGCTTCCCCCTCCCCCGCAAGCTCGCGCGAGCCTCGCCCGCAGGTCGGTGAGGCCCGTAGTGCTGCTTCAGTATTCCTGGACGCCGTGGCTCGTCGCCGCGCGGCCGCCGCTTCAGGTCCCGCCCGTCCGAGGCGGCCCGCGGCCGCCGAGGCTCCGGCCCCGCCCGCGCCGCCGCCGCCGCCACCTGCCGCCCCCTGCGGCGACGGCGGGCCGGCAGCGGCAGCGGCGTTCGCAGTCGGGCATGTCTTGGACGAAGTGCACGGCTTCAGATTCTCTCGGCGGTGCAACTTGTATTCAAGAATCCGTTTCGGCTGTGTCCGCTCTCTCGGGGAAGGGTGCAAGGGGCCGCTGAAGGGCCCGGCAGGCGACGAGAGAGCCCGTCGGATACGTCAGATTCTCTGAGGTGTGCACCCCACCAGCGGGGCGCGCCTCACCGACTAGCCTGTTTGCTAGTCCGCGTGGCGCCCTCTCCGGTCGCCGTACACTGCGCGCTGCGCGCAGGCCGTCCCCAACAAAAAAACAGACACACACACACAGACACACACACACACACAGACACACACACACACAGACACACACAGACAGACACACACACACACACAAACACACACACACACATACACACACACACACATACACACACACACACACACCACCGCCACCACCACCACCGCCATCACGCACGTACGCACCTGGCCCACCACCAAACCACCAAGACGCCACACCACGTCACACCACAGCACACGTGCACACGTGCACACACACACATACACACCACCACCAAAACAACCACAACCACGCACACACGCACGCACGCGCACCACCACCCACTACGCACACGCGCGCGGAGCCACAGGTCCGCTACGACACGCGTCCGCGGATAGAGAAAATCATCGCCATGGTAAGGGATGGGAGGGAGGGGTAGGATGTCAGATGTTGACGCGAGCGCACCTAACTTGTCCCCCTCCCCTCCCCCTCCTCCTCCTCCTCCTCCTCCTCCTCCTCCTGCTCCTGCTCCTGCTCCTGCTCCTGCTCCTGCTCCTGCTCCTCCTCGGCAGTCGCGGGGATGGCGCCCCCACTGGCTCTCTGGGGGCCGCCCAGAGGGGGACCGTCCACGGCCCAGTGCGCCCCGGGCCAGCCGCGTCTTGAGGCAGGCTCTGGGATGCGACGCGGGCCGAAGGCTGCCCGCGCCCTCTGCGGGGGGGGCAGGAGGAGGGAAGCAGCAGGGGCGGCCGGGAGGGGAAGGGGAAGGGGCCGGGGGGCGGGGGCCGTCGCGGTGGGCGGGCGGGCAGCCAGGGTGGCCGCGGAAGCCGTGGTCGTGGTGGTCGAGATTGTCACGTAACTGGATGACCTGGGGTGGTCTTGGCGAACCAGCATTCTTTTCCGCGCGAGCACTTTCCCGTTTCTCTGTAAGAGCGACAGACCATGTCTTTGCCTTTGCCACCGCCTTTGTTTTCCCTCCATCCCTTTTGCGCTTGTCGGAATCAGCACTAGTGGCTCTGGAGCCACCATTACTTCCCGTCGAAGAGATATTGGCAGCAGCGGCATTGGCCTGTTTGGATGTACGCTCATACCCCAAAGATTGTCCAGCGTCAAGTTTCGCTTGGTCCCACTTGTCACGCTTCAGCTTCTCAGCATCGGTTAGCCTTCTATGGGCCTTGTGGCATCCGTCTTCGGATCCTCGACAATTCGTGGGGTCTCGGGAGTATGCGTAACACGGGGTATTACTGTCTTTCCCACGTGACTGACTTCTATTCTTCTGCTGTCCTCCTTTCCCACGATTTCCAATCGGGGTCTGGGATCGGCCCTGCCCCTTTCGGCCCCTGCCCTTTGATCTACCTCTAGTGTTCTTATCCTGGGCAGGGGCGGCGCTGGACTTTCGTCCCGCACTCGGCTGAGCCGGCGCGGCGTTCTTGGGCTTCTTGTGATTGAAGGGCAAGCCTTTTCCTGCGTACGGGCAAGTTTCGCCCTTGGTAACGTATCTGCACGCGGTTGCGCCATTGGTTTTCCCGCTTTTCATGGCATCCGAGGACTGTCCCAACTTAGTGGCAATCTCTGCCGGGGCGGCTTTATTGCCTGCGTTCCTCCGATTGTCATTGCCTCCGCCTCCGCCGAGTCGTGCTTGTCTGGCACGTTGGTTTAAGGTTCCCTCATGCACGCTGACGTTCCACTCCTCTTTTTCTCGCAACATCATTTCTTCAATCTGCTCCATCAGCCACTCGTAAGTCTTGACACCTTGTCCCGGTCTGTCTTTTGACAAGTCATATAATTTACATACAAAATCCAGTGTGTTCGGCTTTCTGCATTGCTGCAGAAAGTGCGCATGAATCGAGGCCCTCATCTCATCGGACGGAGGCTTGGCGCCATAAAGCTGTTGATATACGTATGTCCATTCATTGTAGAAATGATACAGGTCAGCATCAGGCTTGTGCGGGTCTGTCTTCACTTTGAAGAGGTCACGCGAAATGCGATGTTGTCCCAACTCCGACCTTACCGAACACCAGCGACAAATCGCCCGCACCATCTCGCGTGCAGTCATGAGCCCCCCCTCGGCCTGGGCGCTGAATTCCATGCGAGTAACCTGTTGAAGGACATGAGTATGATGAGGAGGCTGGTATCGATTCTGTCGCATCTGGTTGAATTTCTCGATAATAAGGTCGAGACGCCGGGATCGTCCAGCATCTTTGAGTTGCTCATCTTCCACGGCTGGATCCATAGCCTCGGCAATCCAGGGCCGCGCTGCCTGGCTCTCGGGCGATGACCCGGCGATGGCGCGTATTGCGTGCTTTTTCCACTCGCGAATGTTCGTGACGTCAGGGGTGTCCAACAAATCAATTTTCTGGTTGTTACCGACCTGTCTCCACTGATCTAACGGCGTGCTCTCGTCAATTACTATCGAGTCGTGCGGTCCGCCGGGGCCTTGAGGTCCCCTGCGCCCACCCCCGCCATCAGAAGGGTCTGACCCCCCTGGGCTCCCCGGAGGCGATCCTCGTGGCCCTCTACCTCGATCATCTTCGTGCGAAGATACGATCTCAGTGTTGGGAGCGTCGCTCTTGTCGTCATCTTCTCCGCCCTGTCCTGCATTGCCCGACGACTTAGTCGCCGTCGTTCCCTTAGGATCGTCTCCATAGGTTGCGCGGAGATTGGCAAGAAGGTTATTTTTGTTAAGTCCAGTTAGCCGCATCCCTGCAGGGAGTCCATTTTCAGCGGTGCTCGGCTTAGCCGGACCTTCAAGGGCAGGTCCTGGGACAGAATAGCGTTGATGCAACAGCGGCCTCACGGGGGCTTCCTGCGAAAACAACGGAAATCCGAACGACTTCGATGTGAGTCCGACTTCGCGTTTAGTTTCAGTATGCGGATTCGGGTCGGTGATGATAGCCTTAAGCCTCATCTTTCCTATCTCCCTGTTAGCCGCGTTCAATGCAATCTCTTCTTCTCGCATGTTAGCCGCTGACCTTTCGCTCTTCCACAGGTCGCATCTAGAGCATCTCCTCGTACTCGCATCGATATGCTCATCGCAAGCCGAGCTGCCACATCCGACACAGTTGTTTGTCTTTGGACGAGAACAGACGGCACAGAACTGGTCCACGGGAAGCGCGATTCCATTCCCATCGAGAGGTGGGCGTGTTGCACCTCCTACCAGCACGGTCGATGTTCCCGCATTTGCCACGGTCGTCTGGTCGAATTGCGTAGGGGCAGTTGCGATGCTCGACGACTGGGCCGTCGATAGCTGGTGTATGTTCGACCCGAACGGCCTAGCCGGCGGGCATTTAGTGTTGCTCGACATTATACGCTGAAGAGACGATCTGGCTTCCTCATGCGATTTAAGCTCTTCCAGATAGAGATTGTTCTGGTTGGTCATCTTCGCAGCTACAGCGTGGGTGTTGTCCGCTTTCAGCCTGGCGGCTTTGAGCTCTTCTTGTAATCCCTGCTTTTCTCGTTCCGCCACGGCTGTCGCGATTTGTTATCCTTCTATCTTGGCCGCTGCGACGGCAGCGGCAACCGCGTGGGCGTCCGCAGATTCTTCGTTCGCCATCAAGACGGCCCGTCTCTCCGAAGTCAACAATTCCCTGAATGTTTATTCTGCTTCCCTCTCCACTTGCCACTTCGCGGCTTCAGTCTGCTTGTACAGATGTTCTATCAGCGCTTGTTCACGCCCTCTAGCGGCCACAGCCAGGGCGATCCGCTCAGCCTCAAACGTTTTTCTGGCTTCGATCACAGTTTCGGCTCATTCTTCTCTGTCCAATCGAGCCCTTTCAGCCAGATGCGCCTCACTAGTCAGAAACTCTCTCTGAGTGTTAGCCTCTGCTAGCCTGGCCTGGTCTTGAATCGATTGCAAGAAGAGGTACGTGCAGCTGTGCTCGTTCATTGGGTAGCACTCTGTGCACAGCCATTGCATGTTACACTTGTTGCAAACGTCCGAGCAATTCCTGCACACTGGGTTCCTACATGCGCCTTCAGGCTTGTTGGCTTTTCCTGGGCATCTGTTCTCCGCCTGAGGCGGATTGGGATTCCAACGTGCCCCCATCATTGAAACTGCACTGTTGCTCCTAGAAGTAGACCTCGCCCCTGATCTTGGTATTTTGGGTCTTCCCCTGCTCGAAGAATTCGATATTGGGCGAGAAAAAATACTTTCTGGTGGTTTGGGCGCATTCAAGAGCTCCTCATCCGTTTCGTCTTGTTTGATTCGCTGAGAGTATATATCTTGTTGTCCGACCATTTCTTCATCCTCAACAACAGCCGGAATGGTGGGTTGCCACTCACCTGAGGTGGTGGCGCCACGGAAGAAGCCTTCCTTTAATGGCGAGACGGTTAGCTCATAGTCCTCATTCCGTTGCTTCTTGAGGTTAGGCGCAGGAGTTCGCCCAGTGGCCTCCCTCTCATGCTTCGTTTGGGTATCCGTCCTGTCCGCCTGCGGCGCCAGGATACTAGTGTCTTCATCGGATCCATCTGGAGACCAACTTTTGTCTCGAGCAGGGATGCCTTCATCCCTCATCGCGGACGACGCTCGGCTCAGGGAAATATCATCACTGATACTGTCAAAATTTTCTTACACGGGATATATTTCGTGATCTTTGTCTATCGGATCATCGCTATCCTGACCGAATTGTCCGTTAAGTGCTGTAGGGGTTGGGGCGGTGACACGCATGCCCACCCAATCTACGGGGATACTAGGATACGCATTCGGATTCCCTTGGGCTTCCCCTGGCCGGCTGGCTTCGCCAGCGGCAGTGGCAGCAACTAGTGGGGCATTCTGGATGGGACTTATCGACTCCGTCGAGTTGGCGCTCAACCTCGAAGAGAATGCACCTCGCCTGGGCCTTGACGCGACGCCTTCTCCCCCGTGAGGGTCGGGGGTTTGCTCGCGATCACCTATCGGAGTCCCTACTGTGGATACGTCTACCGACATTTCGGTTATCCCATCGGTACTTCTCCCCCTCACGACCCGATCGGCGATAGTTGAAGGAGGGATTCGGTCTTGAATAGGACCGACTCTATCTGCATCGCGCCCATCATGCTGTTCAACGCGCCCTTCAGCGCTTCTCGAGATATTAGACACGATGTCAGTCTTATCATAGCTCTCTCCCGCAGCGACTGAATCGCGGGGCACGACTGAAAGGTTTTCTTGTATATCTAATGGCCCCGCGTCGACTGAGTCGCGCGTTTCGGCTGATGACCAGTCCTTCCTCTGAGAATCGGGGCAAGATGACAAAGGAATTAAGATCTCATGTTCACTCTGCTCAGGGAGGGCGGATGCGGGATGAGACATTGATGCGACAGATATCCGCTAAGCTAAACCACTCTATCAGAAATAGGAAGGGAGGAGGAAGGCCGGGGACGGACGACGACGAATCGCCCGCGCGCCCCAGCGCGCTCCTTTTCACTCCTGCCAGCCGAGGTCGGCTGGTATGAGCAGTTATACAGCTGCAGAAACGCAGCATCAGTTCACGCGGACAGTTCATTGCATGCAATCTAAGTTATGTTCTAATTGAGTACGAGGCGGAGAGGAGCAGATTTACTCGGTTGGGTGAGGAGACGCAGAGCCGAAACGCACTTACGCAGGACGAAAGATTTTCCTCTTGCGGTAAAAATGGCCACGAGGAGTTCGCGAGACAACGTCGGCGCCGCCGAACGGACGGCGACCGGGCGAACTGTCTGCAGCAACCGGGGGGGGGGGGGGATGCATGTATTCATGTTGAATGGGGCCCGCTCGCGCGGGGAGTTGATGGGAGTGCACGAGGCGACGCAGGGCCCATCGTGGCAAATTGATCACCGACCCCCGCTTCCCCCATAGAATTTTAACACGGGCGGCTTGCGGGGTCCGCGGATCCGATTTCTTCCGGCCCCCTGGTTTAATTGAGCAATATAAATTTAAAACAAGATAGAAATCGGATCCACAGTAAAAAATGAAACCGGACACGGATCCAGCGAATCCGAAAATTGGATCCGCACGGACGGAGATCGGATCCACCGAAAGGAACACCAAAGCCACATTTGGATCCGGGCGAGCTTAATGATATCCGAAGGCGGTTACCCCACACGGGTCCGCTCAAGACTTCACACCGTCGTTCCAGGCCCAAGAAGAAAACACTTTCGTCCTGGGGGTGAGCGTTTTGGCCTTCGGACTCGTTGGTTACCACGTAGCCGACACGCCGCATCTCACGCGCAATCCGTTGTTGGTTACGGCACAGCCGACACCGCATCTCACAGGCAGCCCGTTGGGTGAGGAGACGCAGAGCCGAAACGCACTTACGCAGGGCGAAGTAGTTTCCTCTTGAAGTGAAAATGGCCATGAGGAGTTCGCGAGACAACGTCGGCGCCGCCGAGCGGGCGGCGACCGGACGAGCTGTTTGCAGCAACCGGGGGGGGAGGGATGCATGTATTCATGTTGAGTGGGGCCCGCTCGCGCGGGGAGGTGATGGGAGTGCGCGAGGCGACGCAGGGCCCATCGTGGAAAATTGATCACCGAACCCCCCTTCCCCAATATAACCTTAACGCGGGCGGTTTGCAGGGTCCGCGGATCCGACTTCTTCCGGCCCCCTGGTATAATTGAGCAATATAAATTTAAAGCAAGATAGAAATCGGATCCGCCGTAAAAAATGAGACCGGACACGGGTCCAGCGAATCCGAAATCGGATCCGCACGGACGGAGATCGGACCCACCGAAAGGAACACCAAAGCCACATTTGGATCCGCGCGAGCTTCATGATATCCAACGGCGGTTATCACATACGGGTCTGCTCAAGACTTCGCACCGTCGTTCCGGGCCCAAGAAGAAAACACTTTCGTCCTGGGGGTGAGCGTTTTGGCCTTCGGACTCGTTGGTTACCACATAGCCGACGCTCCACATCTCACGCGCAATCCGTTATTGGTTACGGCACAGCCGACACCGCATCTCACGGGCAGTCCGTTGGGCGAGGAGACGCAGAACCGAAACGCACTTACGCAGGACGAAAGATTTTCCTCTTGAAGTGAAAGTGGCCACGAGGAGTTCGCGAGACAACGTCGGCGCCGCCGAACGGACGGCGACCGGGCGAGCTGTTTGCAGCAACTGGGGGAGGAGGGATGTATGTATTCATGTTGAATGGGGCCCGCTCGCGCGGGGAGTTGATGGGGGCGCGCGAGGCGACGCAGGGCCCATCGTGGAAAATTGATCACCGACCCCCCCTTCCCCAATATAATCTTCACACGGGCGGTTTGCGGGGTCCGCGGATCCGATTTCTTCCGGCCCCCTGGTTTAATTGAATGCGATTAATTTAAAACAGGGTAGACATCGGATCCGCCGTAACAAATAAGACCGGGCACGGATCCAGCGAATCCGAAATCGCATCCGCACGGACGGAAATCGGACCCACCGCAAGGAACGCCAAAGCCACATTTGGATCCGCGCGAGCTTCATGATATCCAACGGCGGTTATCACGCACGGGTCCGCTCAAGACTTCGCACCGTCGTTCCGGGCCCAAGAAGAAAACACTTTCGTCCTGGGGATGAGCGCTCTGGCCTTCGGACTCGTTGGTTACCGCGTAGCCGACGCGCCGCGTCTCACGCGCAATCCGTTGTTGGTTACGGCACAGCCGACGCCACATCTCACAGGCAGTCTGTTGGGTGAGGAGACGCAGAGCCGAAACGCACTTACGCAGGACGAAAGATTTTCCTCTTGAAGTGAAAGTGGCCACGAGGAGTTCGCGAGACAACGTCGGCGCCGCCGAACGGACGGCGACCGGGCGAGCTGTTTGCAGCAACCGGGGAAGGAGGGATGTATGTATTCATGTTGAATGCGGCCCGCTCGCGCGGGGAGTTGATGGGGGCGCGCGAGACGACGCGGGGCCCATCGTGGAAAATTGATCACCGAACCCCCCTTCCCCCATAATCTTAACGCGGGCGGTTTGCGTGGTCCGCGGGTCTGATTTCTTCCGGCCCCCTGGCTTGATTTAATGCGATAAATTAAAAACAAGGTAGAAATCGGATCCGCCGTAACAAATAAGACCGGGCACGGATCCAGCGAATCCGAAATCGCATCCGCACGGACGGAAATCGGACCCACCGCAAGGAACACCAAAGCCACATTTGGATCCGCGCGAGCTTCATGATATCCAACGGCGGTTATCTCATACGGTTCTGCTCAAGACTTCACACCGTCGTTCCGGGCCCAAGAAGAGAACACTTTCGTCCTGGGGATGTATCCACGTGGTGCTGTGTGGTTCAGGGATTTAGCGTTCTAGTTATTCCCCAACGTAAACTCAATGGGGGATCCTGGCAACAAATTCATCCGCTCGTGTCCAATAAGCCTCAGCATAGACAGTTGCCTGGCCTCCGCTTGCTCTAGTCCTATCATCGACGACGTCGCACCAGAGTCCGGGATGCCCTCGAAGGTTCCCGAGAGCTGGGTGGCCAGCAAATACGTCGTTCATAAACGATCAAAACGTGACTTTGGCTTCCGGCTACCTGGAACAAGCCCGTCGGCCGTTTCGAATGTTTCGGTAAACTGGATCTCCCGGATGTACTCTGAGGCCTTCTGGAGGTACCCCTGAGCAACCTCGGTCTCGATCGGATCATCGATGTCGGTCGCATCGGTGGCGATGTCGGTCGCATGCATGATGATGTCCGTCGCATCCGTGATGACGTCGGTCGCATATGCGATGAGGTCGGTCGCATATGTGATCATGTCGGTCGCATGCGAGATGATGTCGGTCGCATCTGTGATGATGCCGGCAGGATATGTGATGGTGTCGGTCGCATCTGTGATGGTGTCGGTCGCATTCTGATGATGATTGACGATGGATGCTCGCGCTTGCGCCCGCTCTGCAGCTTGGCGGGTGCCTTGCTGTCCTTGGCGATGCGGCCCTTGCCACCGCACCTGAAGCACACCGTGTTCGGGTCCGCCCTCGAATCCTTGCTGTTAGAGCTCTGGCTCGGCGAGCCACGTGACTGTGGAGGACAGCGGCCGGCGCCCATGCCCTTTCGGCGAGGGGGCCCCCTTGGCGGTCGACCCCAAGAACCTCCGTCCAGTTTCTCTGACGCAATAGCTCTCGTGCTTGATTTGAGGAGCGCTGCCCGCGTTGGGCGGCAGCCAGCGCAGCGCACTCGAGGAGCACTTCTCTGAGATCTCTGTCATCTCCGGCCTGGTCGCAGATATCCTGCAGCTGGTAGTTCACGTCCTCATCCTCCGCCAGAGCGCACGCGGTGGCGCCATCGCTCTGTAGGTCCAGCTGACCAGGCTCCTCTTCGTCACCGTAATCATCTTCTCCGTAATACTCGTCCTCGCCCTCGGCCGCGTAGTTCTTCCGGCTCTGCAACTGTGGCCTCTGGCCCTTGCGGTGGTGACCTTATCTGTCGTGCTTCTTGTCGAGCTGCAGGCCGAGGGTTTGCTGGATCTTATGATGCTCATACTTGTACTGCTCCGATGCCAGCACCTGGGGCCTCTCATGGTCGTCGGGGCCCGCGTTCTCTAGCAGAAATGACGCTCTCAGGGCCTCCGGGAAGATCGGCTTCTTCTCATCGAAGGTCTTGTCGATCGCCTTGATCGCTCTGCATCCGATCCTCCTCGACCTCGAACTGTGCGACGTCGTCCCTCATGGCCGTCCTGCTCCTGCGGAGCGTCTCCTTCATAAACGTATACTTGCCGGCGCCCTCGACCTCCAGGGTGCCACTCTTGTCTTTGAGATATTACAGAAGCTGGCTAACACCCTTCGGCAGCTTCGTCACAGGATCCTCCTCGACATCGTCAAGGCTCTCCAACCTGTCGTACTTCAT